CAGGAATCCAGACCAAAGAAAGTGGCCCCTATCCAGAGAAGGAAAAAACCTGCCCACTACACAAAAAGCGACAATTTAAGACCCATAGTGAACACATGGCTGGAGTGCTGAAGGATGACTCTGACATTGCTCCTAGTAAATAGTGAACAGTTTTGTAGTGTGAAGAGGTCCCCACACACCAAAGGAGGAGGCAAACCAGCTTGAGGAACTGGATTCAGGTCAGCTTCCTCCCCCCACATTCTTGGATTTGGGGGCCTGGAATGACACCTTCCACATCATGCCAGATTGAAAAAAAAAACACTCCTTAAAAAAAAATAAAAATAAAAAAACCTCCATGAAAAACTCATTGATCCGGCCTTTCAACTTTCTCAGGCTTCGGGAAGCACAGATGGCCAGGCCCGGACTTGGTCTGTGGGCAGGAGCCAGACCATTCATCCATCCATCCAGAGAGTGAGCAGGGTCGGGGGTGAGGGGAGGGAAGGCCAACAAGATGGCCCGAGCCAGACATAGTCTTTGTCTGTGGATTACAGAGATTGGGTTGACTGGGGCCTTAGCCTGGGCAAAAGATGCCGTCCCGCCCTCTGCTGGTCGAGAAGCGTCAATGCAAGCGCCCCCTCCTGCAGCCTCCTCTGGGGAAGACAGAGCCAGGTGACTGGACTTCCCCAGTTCTGGTTAGACCCGAGGGGGGAAGGACATGCAGGGGGCTCTGTCTTCGAGAAGACAGGGCTGAAGGGTGCTCATGGATGCCAACGGACCATTCAAAGCCAGAAGTGTCCGTGCGTGACTGCGGATGTACACGCACAGACGCACGCCCGCGTGCCCGTGCGCTCACACACACACTCGCAAAAGCACACCCACACCCACAACCTAGTCCTCCTCCCCCTCAACCCCCCCGACACGGGAGTACCAGGTCCCACTAACAATATATCTGCTGAGTGACGCACGCCTAGGAGATTTTCCGTGGCTTTGCTTCCTTTTGGCCCGTCCTGGGCCCACTGGAGCCTGTCAAAGTATGTATTGTCCCCTCTTCCACCGAGAAAAAACGGCGATGCCATCCCGCAAGGCATGGAGACAGAGCCCTGCAGGCCTCCTTGGGCACTTGCCCTGTCTCCCAAGTCCTCCCCCAAGCCCCGTGAATCGCTTGGGCGGGCCAGGGGCGCCCTCTCCTGGTCCTGCAGCGCCAATGCAAGCCTCCTCCCCTCCCCTTGAAGCCCAACCAGTGACATCGGTCCTGGGGACGGCTGATTGGTCGAGCGGGCAGCTGATTTGGCTCCTCCAACAAGCTCTGGGGCTATAAAAGAACACAGGGCCTTCTTTGCAGAACTTCTCAGCCCTAGGCTTGTGGTCGTGGTCTTCGTCCTCGTTCTCCAAGGGAGCTTTCAGGAGAGAGGTCTCGCCAAGACCCGGGACATAGAAGCCGCTAGAGCACCTGGCTAGAGCCTGGCTGGGCTGCTGATCCACTGAACGCTGTCTCGGTGTCATTTCTTCTTCACCGACTCGTCCACACCCTTGGGAACCCCTGGGCCTGGACCCCAACATCTGGGACAGCCCCGGCGCCGCGCGGGAAGTGAAGGACTCGCGTGCCTCCGCACGGGCTCCATCCGAGGCTGATTCGGGGCCCGCCATGGCCGACAAAATCCACATGTCACTGGACGACATCATTCGGCGGGACCGGAGCCAGCGGGACCGCCATGGCCGAGGACGAGGCGGCGGCGGGGGTGGGGGCGGGGTCGGGGGCAGGGGCAGGGACCGAGGCTGGGACCGAGGCTGGGGCGGCTCCCAGGGAGGCCACGGCCACGGCCACGGCGGGGGCGGGGGCAGGGGCAGGGACCGAGGCTGGGACCAAGGCTGGGCCGGCTCCCAGGGAGGCCTCCGTGGTGGCGGAGCGCAGGCCGCCGCCGCCCCCGAGAGCTGGGGCGGCGGGCGGTTCCGGAACAGGGCGGCCCTCGGCCAAGGCAGGGACCGGCCGGCGCCCTACAGCAGGCCGAGACAGCTTCCCGACGAGTGGCACCACGACCGCTTCCACAGGGACTTCGGCAGGGGCGCCGGCCTGATGACCGGCGGGAAGCTGCTGCTGTCCAACCTGGACTTCCGAGTGTCCGACGCGGACATCCAGCAGCTGTTTGCGGAGTTCGGGCCTCTGAAGCAGGCCGCTGTCCATTACGACCGCTCTGGCCGCAGCCTGGGAACAGCCCACGTGCACTTTGAGCGCAAGGCAGACGCCCTGGAAGCCAGGAAGCAGTACAACGGCGTCCCTTTGGATGGCCGTCCCCTCCACATCCAGATCCTCACCTCGAACATAGTCACGCAGCCCAGGCCGGTACCGAGTGTCAACAGACGCTGGGTGACTACAAACCGAGGATCTGGAGGCTTCGGCGGCGGCGGCGGCGGCGGCGGCGGCACTCAGGGCCGCTCCAGCGGAGGCAACCTGTGTACAGGCAGGCGCACTGGCCGCCATTCAAAGCCACACATCTCGGCGGAGGAGTTGGACGCCCAGCTGGACGCTTACAACTCGATGAGGGGCCCCAAGCAGCTGGACGCCAAGCAGGACGCTTACAGCGCGATGAGGGGCACCCAGCAGTTGGACGCCCAAAAGGGCGCTTACTACTCGATGAGGGACACCAAAAGGATGGACGCCCACCTGGGCGCTTACCATGCCATGAGGGACACCAAAAAGCTGGACGCCCAGAAGGATGCTTACAGCTCCATGAGGGACACCGAGGAGTTGGACTCCCAGCTGGACGCTGACAGCGAGATGAAGGACGCCGAGGACCTGGACGCCCTGCTGGTCGATGATGACGCGACGATGGACACCAGCTAAAGCACCAGCAAGTCGGTGTGCGCGAGGATGGCCAGGGACCTGGGGCCAATGATGGAGTTTGTTTCTTCTGTTTGGAAATAGGATTTAAAACTCTTAGAAAGATTTTTCGTTCACTTTTCTTTTATTCAATAACTCTGAAAAAGACCGGTTTTGTGCCGAGTCATTTTCGGGATTCACTTTACCGGTTGCTGTTTTCACCTTGGCCATAATCAACCGAAAAGGTGTGGGAAAAACACACAGACAAACAAACAAACAAAATAACTCGTTCCCTCCGATAAAACAACAACAACAAAATACCCTCCTCAGAAAAAAAAGGTTGATCCCGCCTTTCCAATTTCTGAGGCTTTGGCAAGCCCAGGTGGCCAGGCCTGGACTTGGTCTCTGGGAGGGGGCCTGACCATCCATCCACAGAGTGAGCGGGGTGGGGGAGGGGTGGGGGTGGGGGTGAGTGTGGGGGGACGGGGGGGGGGTGGGCGTGGGCGGGGTTTGGATCAGATGGACAGTCCAGGACGTCATCTTTGGCTGTGGATTACAGAATTTGGCTGGACTGGGGCAGGGGCCGAAGAGCCCGCCCCGCCCTCTGCTGGTCGAGAAGCGTCAACGCAAGCCCCCCTCCTGCAACCGCCTGTGGGGAAAGCACAGACAGGTGACTGGACTTCCCCATTTCTGGCTAGACCCGAGGCGGGAAGCACTTGCAGGGGGCGTTGTCTTTGAGAAGGCAGGTGCTGAAGGGTGTTCATGGATGGCGACGGACCGTTCAAAGCAAGGAGTGTCCGTGCGTGACTTCGGATGTACACGGACAGACGCACACGCTCGCGCGCGCACACAAACTTCCACACCCACACACCTATCCCTCCCGCCTCCAACCCCCTCCCCCGCTCCCCGCGTCCCCCCACCACACACACACACACACACACACACACACACACACGCGAGAGCACAAGGTCCCGCTAACAAGATATCTGCCGAGTGAGGCACGCCTAGGAGATTTTCCGTGGCTTTGTTTCCTTTTGGCCCGTCCTGGGCCCACGGGAGCCTGTCTTAGTATGTATTGTCCCCTCTTCCACCGAGAAAAAACGGCGATGCCATCCCGCAAGGCGTGGAGACAGAGCCCTGCAGGCCTCCTTGGGCACTTGCCCTGTCTCCCAAGTCCTCCCCCAAGCCCTGTGAATCGCTTGGGCGGGCCAGGTGCGCTCTCTCCTGGTCCTGCAGCGCCAATGCAAGGCTTCTTCCCCCTCTAACTTGAGGCCAACCGGTGACGTCGGTCCTGGGGGCGGCTTGATTTGGTCGAGCGCGCAGCTGAATTGGTCTTCTCCACACCAGCCTCTGGGTCTTATAAAAGAAACAGAGGGCCCTTCTTCTGCAGAGCTTCCTCTAGCACATATGCTTGTTGGTCGTGCTTCCTCGTCCGTCGTTTCTTCCAAGGGAAGCCTTTCCAGGTAGAAGAGGTTCTCTGCCATGCACCCTGATCCCTGAAACATAACACGCCGCATAGGAGCACCTTGTCTTAGAGCCCTTGGGGTAGGGCTTGCTTGATT